CCTCGCAGCTCTTGCCAGAGCAGCCCGAGTAGCCCAACCAGCCCGAATGGGCGCCCAGGTCACCAGAAAAGCCCGAAAAGCCCGACAAGTCCGAAAAGCCCGAAAAGCCCGAAAGCCCGAAAAGCCAGAGAAGCGCGAAAAAACGAATAGGTCGAATAGCTCGAGAGCGCTTGCCGCTTGAAACATGCTTGCAACTCGTGCGCCGCCGCTCGAGACACCCGCTCGAGTGCCAGCGCCCGAGATATCCTCACAACTCGGGCGCGATCTCGAAGTAACACGCACGCGTAACCCCAACGGGCGGATCGGATCGGGCGGGCGGAGACTAACGGGCGGGTCGGGTCGGGCGGGCGGGACATTAAAAGATAACGAATGTTCAAAAAAAAACACGCACGCGTAACCCTGACGGGCGGGTCGGATCGGATGCGGACCTTAACGGGCGAGCGGACCGAGCAGGCGGGACATTAACGTATGACGCGTGCTCGAAGCAACACGCACGCGGAACCCTAACGGGCGGATCGGACCGGGCGGGCGGAGACTAACCGGCGGGTCGGGTCGGGCGGGCGGGACATTAAACAATGACAAAATTTCAAAACAAAACGAAAAAACGCACGCGTAACCGTAACGGGCGAGTCGGATCGGATGCTGACCTTAACGGGCGAGCGGGTCGGGCGGTCGGGACATTAAAATACGACGCGTGCTCGAAATAACACGCACGCGTAACCGTAACGGGCGAATCGGATCGGGCGGGCGGACCCTAACGGGCGGATCGGGTCGAGCGGGCGGGACATTAAAATATGACGCATGTTCGGGAAACCACGCACGCGTAACCGTAACGGGCGGGTCGAGTCGGGCGAGCGGACCCTAACGGGCGGAACGGGGCGGGCGGGCGGGACATTAAAGCATGATGCATGCTAAAAAAATGAGCTCGTGTAACTCATGGGCGGGTCGGGTCGGGCGAGTCGGGTCGGGCGGGACATTAAAGTATGACCCATGTTAAAAAAAACGCGCGTAACTCTAACGGGCGAGTCGGGTCGGACTTGCGGGTTCGGGAGGAGGAGGAGGAGGAGGGAGGAGGAGGAGGAGGTGGGAGAGGAGGAGGAGGAGGAGGAGAAGGAGGAGGAGGAGGAGGGGGAGGAGGAGAGGGGAGGAGAGGGAGCAGGAGGAGGAGGAGACGGAGGAGGATGAGGAGGGGCCAGACGAGAACCTCTCTGGCACCGCTGCTCGAGGTAACATGCACGTGTAACCCTAACGAGCGGTTCGGGTCGGGCGGGCGGGCGGAACGGGGCGGGCGGGCGGGACATTAAAGTATGACGCATGCAAGAAACAACGAGCTCGTGTAACTCATGGGCGGGTTGGGTCGGGCGAGTCGGGCCGGGCGGGCGGGACATTACGTAAAGTATGACGCATGTTCAACAACAAAAACACGCGTAACTCTAACCGGCGAGTCGGGTCGGACCGGCGGACACTAACATACGACGCTGTTCGGAAGGAGGAGGAGGAGGAGAAGGCAGAGGAGGAGGAGGAGGAGAAGGAGGGGGAGGAGGAGAGGGGAGGAGAGGGAGCAGGAGGAGGAGAAGGAGGAGGAGGAGGGGCCAGACGAGAACCTCTCTGGGGCTGCTCGAGGTAACGCGCACGTGTAACCCTAACGGGCGGTTCGGGTCGGGCGGGCGGATCGGGCGGGCGGGACATTAAAGAATGACGCGTGCTCGAACAAACACGCTCATATAACCCTAACGGGCGGTTCGGGTCGGGCGAGCGGGTAGAGCGGGCGGGACATCAAAGTATGACGCGCGCTAGAAAAAAACACGCACGCGTAACCCTAACGGGCGAGTCGGATCGGGCGGCCGGACCGTCCGAGGTCCCAGAGGAGCCCGAATAGCCCGAATGAGGGCCAGGTTGACCCGAAAAGCCCGAACAGACTGGAAAGCCCGCCGCTGGAAACATCCTCGCAACTCTATCGCCGTCGCTGGAGACATCCTCGGAACTCTGGCCAGCGTAGCCCGAGTAGCCCGAATACCCCGAATGAGGGCCCCGGTTGACCCGAAAAGCCTCAAAAGCCCGCCGCTCGAGACATCCTCGCAATTCTGGCGCCGCCGCTGGAGACATCCTCGCAACTCTGGCCAGCGCAGCCCGAGTAGCCCGAATAACCCGAATGGGCGCCCGGTTGACCCGAAAAGCTCGCCGCTCGAGACATCCTCGCAACTCGGGCGCCGTCGCTGGAGACATCCTCGCAACTCAAGCTTTTCAGGCTTTTCGGTGTTTTCGGGTCAACCGGACTAGCCCGAAAAGCCCGAAAAGCCCGAAAAGCTCGCCGCTCGAGACATCGTCGCAACTCGGGCGCCGCCGCTCGAGACATCCTCGCAACTCTGGCCAGCGTAGCCCGAGTAGCCCGAAAAGCCCGAAAAGCCAGAAAAACCCGAAAAGCCCGAATAAGCCGAAAAGCTCGCCGCTCGAGACATTCTCGCAACTCTGGCGCCGCCGCTCGAGACATCCTCGCAACTCTGGCCAGCGTAGCCCGAGTAGCCCGCATACCCCGAAAAGCCAGAAAAGCCTGCCGCTCGAAACATTCTCGCAACTCTGGCGCCGCCGCTCGAGACATCCTCGCAACTCTGGCCAGCGCAGCCCGAGTAGCTCGAATAACCCAAATGGGCGCACGGTTGACCCGAAAAGCCTGAAAAGCCAGAAAAGCCCGAAAAGCTCGCCGCTCGAGACATCCTCGCAACTCGGGCGCCGTCGCTCGAGACATCCTCGCAACTCAAGCTTTTCGGGCTTTTCGGGTTTTCCAGGCTTTTCTGGCTTGTCGGGCTTTTCGGGCTATTCGTGTCAGCCCACTTTTCAAACACCCCTGGCCGACGCAATGAAATGATTGTTGTTGTTGTTGTTGCTGTTGCTGTTGCTGTTGCTGTTGCTGTTTTAGTTGTTGGTAACGCTGTTGTCGGTGTGATTCGGGAGCCAGCGACGCAGTCTGAGGCGTAAGTGTTTTCCTTGTGAGAAACACTGTGGGAGGGGCAATACCATTGAAAAACGCAACGGGCACCGGAGGGAGGATCAACCATAATCGACCATGAAAAATGGAAGCTCTGCTGATTCTATGACGACTACGACTACGACTACGACTACGACTACTACGACGACGATGTTACTACTTTCTAGTACTGCTGCTGCTGCTGCTGCTACCGCTGCTACTGCTGCTGCTAAGTGCTACTACGCCTGCTGTTCCTCTATTCTCCTCCCCCTCGTCGTCCTCCGCCCTCGCCTCCCCCTCCGCCTCCCCTTCCGCCCCCCCGCCGCCTCCCCCAATCCCTCCGCCTCCACCTCCACCCCGCCCTCTCCCTCACCCTGGCGACACCGCCCCCCTTGGGGTTAGCTTTCAGACTAGCGCTCGAGCCTGAGGCGGCCATTCGGGACGATTCTGGCGCCACAGAACGCTTTCGACGCGGCGCAGCTGCTTGAAAACGAGCGACAAACTTGCCAAACAACATAACGCATTCGAAGCATCGCGGGCACCAACACCGTCCGGAAACTTCGAAACAGTCGAAGGCGTTCCGAAAGCCCAGGTTTCCTGCGGCCGTCCTAGACGAGTTTGGGTACCTGGAGCGCTCTCGGCGAAGCGCAGCTGCTGGAACGCACCCCAAGGCCTGGGGGCCGTCAGCAGATGGACCCGGGATGGACAACACACCCCACGACAGGGGTCGGGACCCCTTTGGCATCGAGCAGTGGAAACATCAAATGGTCCGATGTCTGGGTTGGAAGACCCTCTATCGGCGGCGCGCCCAGGGGGAAGGCAGAGGCAGCGGCCCCTCTCACAAGGCTGAGAAGCTTTCTGAGCCTCCTCCGAAGCCACAAACTTGCCATCGCTTGGATGCGTCCGTTCCCCGTGCACTGTTCTGTTTCGTGCGTGTTTGGGGGGGGGCCAGGTGGTCCCCGCCGCGGTAACATGCACAGGTCCGGGCGATGCCAAGCAAAAGGCCTCGCGGGGGACCTTCGTCCCTCTGAGAGAAGCTTCGCCGCGCCGCCCTCTGAGCAGGCCTGCCCCCTCGATGATCACCGTCCTCTGGCTGTCGAGTCATACGGTCGGACCTAGGCCAGAAGAACAGCCCTCAAGAATATGATACCCTTTGTCGGCCAGAACAAACATAACATCCAATGGTGCCCCCCCCAGGATGCACAAGGAAATCCAACAAGCACGAAGACCATTGGGGTACCCTTCCCGAGCCGACCTCGATCTTACACCTCGGTCCGACCGTAATTCGGGTCTCCTGCGGCCGGAAAACTTCCTGGAACCTACGGAAGCTTTCGGAAACCTCAGACCTCGAACTCGAAACTCCCAGGCTGCCCCCCTCGGCCTGCCGCCTCCAGCCCCCCGTGGCGGGACTAGTCAGCGTCGGATCGGGAGATCGGGTCGGATCGAAATTCCGTCGGATCGGACTGCATCGACATGGAGTCGCAATCGAAGCGGTTCGGCCGCGCCAGGATGCACATCGACGAGGTGCGAGCATCGGACCACATCAGATCGTTGGCAAACCGGAGTCTAATCGGATCGGGTAAGCCGAGATCGATATCGACTTGGATCGATCGGATCGACATGGACCTTTAGGTCTGGTTCCTCCTCCTCCTCCTTATCCTCCTTCTCCTCCTCCCCCTCCTCCTGCTCCTCCCCCCTCCCCCTCCTCCTCCTCCTCCTCATCCTCCTCCTCCTCCTTTTCCTCCTCCCCCTCCTCATGCTCCTCCTTCTCCTCCTCCTACGTTTTCTCCTTCCGCTCCTCCTCCTAACCCCCTCCCTCCGTCGGGCGGACGGAGGTGGGAGGAACGGAGACGGAGGGACGGAGGAAGGGCGGGCGGAGTCTTACCTCCCTCCCTCCCTCCCTCCCTCCCTCCCTCCTTCCCTCCCTCCTCCTCCTTCCCCTCCTACCCTTCCCCTCCTCCTCCTTCCCTCCTCCTCCTTCCCCTCCTCCTCCTTCCCCTGCTCCTCCCCCGGGGGCGGCCGAAGGACCACGTGCGCTGGGGCGCGCAGGGCAGCTGGATGCACGGCGGGCCGCCGGGCTCTGGCGGCCCGAAGCACACGGCGCACTCCAGCGGGCCGTCCGCCTCTCGGCGGTCGGGGGGGGGAGGAGGAGAGGCCGGGCAAAAGGACGAGGAGAGGGAGGATGAGGAAGACGGGGAGGGGGGCGAGGAAGAGAGGGCGGAGGAGGACAACGACGAGAGGGACGGGGAGGAGGACGGAGGGCGAGGAGAAGGAGAAGGACGAGAGGGAGGACGAGGAGGAAGACGAGAAAAACGGGGAGCGAGGACGAGGAGGATGAGGAGGAGGAGAAGGAAGACGAGGAGAACGAAAAGGACGAGGTGTACGAGGAGAACTAGGAGGAGGAGCAGGCTGAGGACGAGCAGGAGCAGAAGGACGACCGTCGAGGAGGAGGAGGAGGACGAGGAGGAGGACGAGGAATGTGAAGACGAGGGGGAGGGGACATGCGAGGGAAAAGGGACGGAGGAGAATGATAAATATGGGATGATAAGGGGAGGGGTGGCGGGGGGGGGGGAGGAAGGTAAGGCCACCTCCTCCTCTTCTTCTTCCTCCATCACTTCAGGAGGAGAGAGATGATCAGGGCAGACCAGGGACGCGTCAGCGATGCTGCTACACACGTCGCAATATCGGCAAGCTAGTATGCCTCGAATAAGAAACCGGAGCCCACATCGGAATCCGAAGTCAAATCGGATCAGAATTGGAGGCCATCGAAGTCGAATCGAATCGAATCGGATGAATCGACATGAGCCCTGCCCCCCTGAGCCCCCCTCCAGAAAAAATGGTTGCCAGTCCTCCGTGAAGATGGCAGCTTTCGTAGCCCAGTTGATCGGCAACCTGTGTTATTGCTCCTCTTGTGGTTCTTCTTGCTGTTCATCCTGCTGTATCAGTCTCTTGATCAGGTTCAAGTGGTGGATTGGAGACGTACGTATTGTTGCCATGACGAGAAGGGTGTTTAGGGACCGTTAGGCATGCGCCTACGAAAGACAGACGAGACCTGGGCGGCCGTCGCGCGGCGGGGCGGGGCGCTCTTTTGCTATCGCAGCCAACACAGCTGCAGGTATGCAACAGTTAGTTTTGCTGAGGCGCGCAGGGGAGTGACTAAATCACCCCCCCTCGCGGCCTACCCTGCGAGCTCCACTCGCACGGGCGGGCGTCAGCGATCTGTCAACGCCCCAATTTTGTGTATAAAGCGTCCTGTTGCGCAGCGCCCGGCAAGCAGCACTCCCGCTGCCTGGCTCGCCACTCGCTAAGACGCTTGGTGCGCAGCACATATCATCCATTGTGGGCGCGCTTGAACTGCGGCGGTGAGCCTCGAAGGGGTAGTTTCGGCATAGCCGTGTTTTCCCCCTTCGTTCTCCTCCTCACCTCCAACAGTGATCGTCACGGCTCCAGCTGTCATCGTGCTAGTTGTCTGAGCCCCAGCTCCAGGGCGACCGCCAGTCTCTGGCACCTCTCTGCCGCGGACGGGGGGGGGGGTCCGCAGTCTGCTGCCCCGCGTCGGCATGCGCGTGCCATGAGCGAGCATCCTCCGCGCGGCGCCGCGCGGCATCCGCCTCGACGCGCCAAGGAGCGCCCGTGCGAAAGTCTCCGGCTGCAGGCGGCCTCGCGGCAGGTGCGGAACTTGAAGAGGCAGCCCCCGCGCTGTAGGACGTGCCCTACTGCGTCGGATTCTCAGCCTGGCGCCGCCTGGACTCTCGTTGCTCATCAGGCGCTCGACTCCTTGGCCTCTTTGCTCCCTTGCCGTCGCCCTCGTTCCCCCTGCCCTTGCCCCCGGCGTCGTCCGACGTTTTTGCTGCCGCGGCGCGGCCTGCAGGCGTCGCAGAATTCGTCCTCTGTGTCCTTTGGCAGATGGCGGAGGAGACGAGGCACTGGCCCCGACATCGTCGGTTGGCGTCCGTGCCCTCGTTTCACGTGCCTTGGGCAGTGGGGCCCCCTGGCATTCTGCCCGCGGCCAAAAATCCTCTTTCTTCTCCGCGGCAGCTTGCAAGTGGCTGAGCGGTTCGACTTCCCTGGCCCCCAGAGACATCGCGCACCGCGCGGACCGCCCAACGCTGGGCTCTGCACAGCGACGCTCAGCTGGGTGGGTATAGTCCCAGTCGAAGGGGTTCAGGATGGCATAATGGCATAGTCTTCCCCACTCATTACCCCCCTGTTGACGCACGGCTTCCACAACCTCGGAGTTGCCACCGCGCCCTGTCCCGTCGCAGGCGTCATGAAGTGCATGTTCTGGAACTTAATCCATCTGCGAGCCAACCCCCGCGCCTTTTCCAGCTTGCTGGGATGCTGCGGCCCCGGTAGCTCGTCATCTGGGGACGTAGGCAACCAGGCAAAGACTGTCATGATGTTGCTGTGAATTGCAATCTTGTCTTGCAACACATTCTCTCTGCGGGTTGCTATACTCCTATAGCCAGCGTCTTGCCACCTCTGCTGTGTCCTTGCTTGCACGCGGTCGGCGTCGGCGCCCGCCCATCTCCTCGCCGTGGGGTCGCGGGCATAGTCCTGTCGACCCCGTTTGGCTAGGCCGATGTCACCGTACTTGATGTTGGGCCTGATCGTTTCGGGTTCAGAGATGACAGCTCCGTACTGCGCAGTTGCCCCACAGGTAAGACAACTCAGTGCCCCCATCCAATTACGGCAACCGCTGCTGCACAGGAGGTAGTGTTCGTCCCACTCATTTGGTGCGCATAGCGCGGCCTTCTCCGCGAAAGCGAGCTCATCACGAATGCTCTCGCCGGGCATTCGATGCAGCTCTTGTTGCCGCTTAGCCCAGTCGACGCGAGCCTCGTCGAAATCGGGGTGGACTTTGAGCGCAGCGCACCGATGGTCATAGACAAACGCCCACGATGCTCGATACCGGTGCATCCCAGGCGCAGTAAGCCGCATGACCGAATGAGTATCGCTCAATTTGGGGCGCAATGTGGTCGCTAGCGCGCCGTCGCGCCGTCTCCAAATGTCCGGATTCTCGAAACTGCAAGGCTCGAAGGCGAGCGCGTGGGGCTCCGAGAGCGAGCGCGGATCATCCAGACCCAAGACACCGGCATCTAATGCTTGGCCAGCCACCGCTCGGGCACACCCTCCAGGTCTGAGCCGCGTCGGCAGCTCCCCGCGCACGTCGCCGCACTCTCCCGCCTGTGCTCTCTCGACCAGCCTGACCACTCCGAACGACGGCGTTCTTCGGGGCATTATACGGTCCGAACTGAGTGGGTAGACAGGTAAGAGAGCGGCACTGCCAAACACCCTGGAGGCCCCTCTGCGGCGATGCGACGCGCCCGGTCATAGACCTCTTCATCGAGGCATCGCCCAAAAGAGCGACAATCGCCTGATGGGAATACCTCGCCGCCGCGTCGCACCTGATGTGCATGCGCCTCGGTCAACGACCCGCGCCGAATGACCCTTGCAGGCGCGGAACAACAACGGCGCTCTGGCCATGGGAGCCATCGCCGGTACACCTCTTTCGACATAGTCGTCCCAAGGCGGTTTGCGCCCGAAGCTGTCGCCCCAATCTTCTGGTTCAGCAGTGGGGCGCTGTCGGCGCTCGTTATATTGGCGCCAAGAATCCGGGCAGCGCTGAAAGGCAGTTGAGCGAGGGCGCGCACATAGCGCGCCCATGCTTTATCGTAGCCCACGCTATCCTACATCTCGACAATGACGGGCGCCTCGATCCACCCCGCTGAACTGCGGACATGGGCAGCACTGTGCATCGCTAGGAGTAAATATGAGCGAGCCACGGCGCCCAGCTCCCTCCACGTCCACACCCGAGTGCCACGCCAGCGCGCGTTGTTCACAAGGCCGGGGTCATCGGGAGAAAGTGGAACTCGGGCAATGGGAGGCAGCGCGGCCCGACCGCGCGATAGCGGGCACGCAAGAATCGTCGTGCCTTTGCTCCGTCGCCAGCCGTCAAGCGTCGCAAGAGCTCGAGCAGCGGGTCACCCACTTAACCCCTTGCCCAATCTAGCGCTCGCTGCTCGTAGCCTCTGCCACCTCTCTCGATCTGCGAAAGACTCTGGGCTAGCACCAGCTGCCGTGCCAACTCAAAAGGGATGGCATCCACTGCCCAGGGGTCGTCGACCTCTACGAGCGGGGCACCGTTTTCGTCCTTCTCTGCATGCTCGAGCCCGAGGCAAGCCGTCTCCCTCACCTCTCTCTTTCTTTGCTTGTACTCACTTATCGATAATTGCGCCTTCTTTGGTGGAGTCGGACCCCCTCCGAGACAGACGCACTTCGACATGAACGCGTGGGGAAGCTTGCTGGAGAGCACGTCCAGGGGGAACAACTCGGGAGGACCTCTTGGAGGTATAACCTCGGCTTGCTTCTCCGCGGAGTCATCTTGTTTCTCGTCGGCATTATCTGAGGTATTGTCCTACTCTTCCGCTAGGCCATGGATGGTGGCCGGAATCCGGCGCCCTGTCTCATCGAGCGGCGGAGGCGGAGGACTCTCTTCGTCGGATGCCTCCAAGTCGACCAAGTCCAGGCCCTTCCTAGCGGAGGTTTGCCCTGGCTTGGTTTTGCGCCTCCGAGAGGTTCTCGGTTCTGCGCGGGGGCCACAGCTTCCGAGGGCAGTGGGGCAGGCGGGGGGGCTGCGGCATAGCCTTTCGCTCCCCCCTCCATGCCTGCGGACGATTGTCCCCTCTCATCCTGAGCAGGTTTCGAGTCAACTGACATTGCTGTCGGACTGTCGACCTCCACGCTCAGCTCCATCGCTCCCTCATGAATTTCAGATTGACACCGCCACTCGAAAAGCGTCTTCTCGTGCGCTAAGATCTCGGCGGGAGCACTGTGTCTGCAGGCGCCGGCCAAAATGCGAGCATGCACGGTGGTGGGGAGTGCGTAGGTCAGTATGAAGGGCAGTATCGGGCATGTTGCAGAAGTCGCATGATTCCACAGGCTTCAGCTGCGACTCCAATTGTCCCTATACGACGCACAGTAGCATCCGACACGGAGCCATGCATACACCTGCTCCACTACGGACATAGTCTCTTGACCTCCATGGCACGTTCTTTTGTGAATGGCTTCGTGTCGTCCGTTGGCGGAGGCCGGCGAAATGGAGCTCCGCCGCGCGGGTCGC